CTCAGGCTTGAAACCGTGGCGTTCGATTGAAGGTAACGTTGGACGAGTGCCAGTGGTGACAGTCATGACAGCAGGATTGCAGGATACAATAATGTCAGCCATGAGGCCATGAGGCACAGCCGCGCCCGCGCCTTGAGCCAGGAACTCCGAGTAGAGCACCGTGCCCACCAGCATTGGAGACACTGGCAGTTCACTACTGTAAGTACAGTAACAAGTCGTTAAATTAGTTCATTTTCACTCTGCGCAGCCTCGAGGCCCCTTAACATTTGAAACAACTGCGACCGTAGCCAAGGCGCAGAACAAAAAATTATTCTATCGTCAGATCTAGCGTGAAATCGTGATGACTTTCCTTTCCAGGCGCAAGAGCCTGAGCCTGGAACGCCGCCGCCGCCTTCGTCCTTTCACCCAGGGTGGCTTCAAACACCTTGTGTGCAGCAAAGCAACACAGTGTGAGAAACATAATAGAATACCTTGAAACCTAATAAAGCGCGATTAGTAGTCACCATATGAAACTAGAGGACAAACGGTCGATTTCCAATAAGAAGTCTGGCTATAACGTGCATGCACTCAACCCAATTACCCCAACAGTTGAAAATAAATTATGCGCTATACTAGTGAAGATCCTTGATTGTCAAATTGCCAACGGAATAAAAAGACACTACATTACACAACACGTTCTACATGTATAAGTTAGCTGACCCAGTCGAGATCTTGCACGTCCGGAGCCGTTCGTGATCCATGTCCGTTCTTGCGCGATGTCGCAGGAAGTGGGCGAATCCACAGCTTCACTTGGCCCACTTTGGTACCAGTGAGCAACCAACGTGGGAGAAACGCGATTGCGGTCAACATGTCGTTCTCGAGCTGCTTGACAAGAACAGGTTGTACAATCGCGACCTCATTGCGGGACGGTGCGGGATGGTAGCGCGAAAGAGGGCCTTCCCCACCAAGAGGTGGGAGGTGAAGCGTTGAGTGGTCAGCGGTGAGCGTGTCGGGCCCGGGACGGCGACGGGCAGCGAGAGAAAGAGACGAGGCCATAGAGAGGCGTTGGTGGTGTGAGTGTAACTTGGGACGGTGCAGTATTCCGCTCGAGAAATCCCACTGTGTTGCGTAAGGGTCATATCAGCGTCAATTCAGAGGGAACTGTAAAGGAGAAACGTGTTTTACGAGAATCATTTTGTTATCCTCTCCCACGCTACCAAAGCGATACGTTCGCCCGTCGCAGCGAAGGTCGTCAAAAGCAAGTGCAGACAAAAAGGACGAATGTCCCTGGCAACGGGCGATGACGCGCTGCTCCCACGGGGAGAAAATGTTCACCAAGTCATCTTGGCCGCCGGTCTTACCATACGAACCGATCAGACGAGGACGATCCCCCTTGAATTTGATGGAGACTCACGATAATGAACCGGCTGTCTGGTGACCATGCTACGCATGTCAGTGATCCGAAATAAGCGGCGTAACAATCTACAAGCCTAATTAATGATTTGACGTTCAGTCCCAGTTACCGGAGCACAGAGAAGAACGGCATACTGTTCCGCCAGTGCGTCTATAACTCGTAGACAGCCGTCCTCAGAGATAGCCGCAACGTACTTGACATCGGGTGAGAATACGAAGTCTGTGAAAGTCGAAAGTCATCATCAACTCGGCCATCATCGATCATGACACATACCGACGACGCCCCTCTTCGACACCTTCCAATGGCTCACGGGGTTTTTCGTAGCTTTATCCCTGTCGCCTCTTCCACCCCCTGACTGAGCTCCAGCAGCATTGACAGGATGCCACGGGGGAATAGTAACAAAGATACTGTCCAATGGGTTCCACTCTCCCGATGGTGAACTCCATTCAGGGGATGGCGGTGCCGGATCATTGGTTGGAGGGCGAGGAGGAGATGCTAAAGAGGCCGTTGGGGCTTGTGGTGTGAACACGCCATCTTCGCGCTCCTTGTCATAAACGACAATGGTGCCATCTGCGTGTGACACGAGGAAGAGGTTTGGAGAGGATGGTACCCATCGTACGGCAGTACAGGGCGAGTTGGAGATACGACCCTGCGATTACGCGTCCATTTCATCTATACCTGGGCAACCCCTCGCCGATGGTCTTACCTGCTTGTTCAGTCGCCCGTATCTTAGTGCGATCGGGTCTACGGTTATCAGACGTACTGTAACTAGTAGAATTGGTTAGCACGGACTCACCGAACCATATAAGGTCGCCAGTTTGGAACCCGATGATAATGTCTAAGTGTTCATGAGATGCCGTGGAATGATTCACGTCGTGGCATGTCGGATGTGCAGCAAATGCGACACGAGCCAGAGCTTCCTGAAAGAGGGGGGTAGGGGAGATGTGTGTGAGCTCGTTCGCGAGGCGCGAAGCGCACCTTGGCTTGTACACCAGCCTCAAGCCAGTAGAAGTTCTTTGCAGAGTTGTAGAAAAGATATGTAACCTCTCCCTGTTTTGCCTGCAGCGCCTTTGCGAGGCCTTCCATACTTTGCAATCTGGTGATGAAAGTTGAAGATGTCGTGCGCATATTATGTTTCGGACGGGATAACGCCCTGCGCTTGCCGCCTGCAGGAGGTGGCGGGCCAAAGAGTCCATGGGCCTGATCTGGCACGGTAATCGATGTTGGTGTAGTGGCATCTTGCGTAGTACCGCCCACATCAGGCGAGGTGACATCCTCGGGCGTTTCACCGCTCGAGACGCTAACACCATCTTCCTTTGCGGCAGCGGTCGGCGCGAGACCCTTCTCTTTCCAGAAGTCCTTTCCGCCGCCCAAAAGCTGGCCGAGACCTTGAATGGCCGGTTGCTTAGTTGCGGGAAAGCGCACGGTGATGGTAGATAGGCGCGTCGGGTGTATTGGGAGGGGAGCTGTGTGAGGGATGGGGCCGGGCTTGTGATCCTCTGTGAGGGAGTAGACACCCTCGGGGGCGACGAAGGTGTGCTCGCTCTCCATCGTCGGTGGGCGGGGGACCAGGAGCGGTTAACGTACTGGCTCGCCGCCACTGCTTTTCGCTTTCCTCGGATCTTATTACCCCGACGTAACCACCATGTCCATCTCCTCCATCACCCCAGCCGTCCGCGCTGCCAGTCGCCTGACACCCTTGACCGTGCGTAGAAATTCATCTTTTTATTCCTAAACCCACTGTCATCCCTTTACTGTCGAAATCAAACAGTACTCAAGATTTGGCGCAAGACGCTGGGAGTCGACCGGAGCGGAACCTCCGCCAGCCGGTGGTCATCTTCCTTCCATCTCGACCTCGAAAATCCTTCGTAGCACGCGCGAGGAGGCCCTCCGTACTCTCGGTATCAAGTGGCTGGATCAAGATGGCAGCTCACCTTTGCAAAATACGATTGGCGGTCGCGAGACGCGCAAAATGAACGTCTACCAGGCCGTCAGGGACGCCATGGGGTACGTTCGTCTCGGCTGGCTTGTCGTATCCATGACTCAGTTTTCGTCAGTATTGCCCTTGCGAAGGATGATACAGCCATCGTCTTTGGAGAGGATGTCGCGTTCGGTGGGGTGTTCCGGTGTACCATGGTAATTTATGCGTCATTTTCTCCGATACTCCATACTTATTTGCCTCACTTTGGTAGGGGTTGGCGGAAGAATTTGGTAGGCTATGCGACCAGCTTCTGTTTCTCCGATGATTCAACCATCTTGCCAGGTCGGGAGCGTGTCTTCAATACACCTTTATCAGAGCAGGGTATCGCAGGCTTCGGAATTGGTGTGGCTTCAATGGGCCAAACAGCCATCGCAGAAATCCAGTTCTCCGATTATATATTCCCTGCATTTGACCAAGTACGCACTACCATCTTTTATCATCACATCCGACTTTTGACAAATGGCTCCAAGCTTGTGAATGAAGCTGCCAAATTCAGGTACCGCAGTGGGGGTCAGTTCAACGTCGGACGCCTTACTGTGCGGACACCAACAATGTCCGTTGGCCACGGAGGACTATACCATTCACAAAGCCCAGAGGGCTTCTTTATGGGCGCTTCGGGGCTCAAGGTGCGCGTCAGCCTGTTCGAGTTTGGACAGCTGGCGTGAAAAACAGCTTAGATCGTCATCCCGCGTTCTCCCGTCCAAGCCAAAGGACTACTTCTCGCCTCGATACGTGACCCAAATCCAGTCATCTTCATGGAACCCAAGATTCTCTACCGCTCCGCGGTCGAGCAAGTCCCAATCGACGATTACGAGCTTCCGCTCGGCCGTGCAGAGGTCCTAGTGCCAGGTGCAGACCTGACGCTGCTCACGTGGGGCACGCCCGTGTACCACTGCGAGACGGCGCTCTCGCTGCTCGCGAACCCGCCGCCCTCGCTCGCTCCGCTCGTGCCCGAATCGGTTCGTCAGGCGCGGATCGAGCTCATCGACTTGCGCACCGTGTTACCCTGGGATGTCGAGACGGTGTTGGAGAGCGTTCAGCGCACTGGCAGGCTCGTGATCGTACACGAGGCGAGCCGTACAGCAGGCGTTGGTGCCGAGATCGCAGCTGAGATTCAGTCCAAGGCGTTCCTTAAGCTGCATGCCCCCGTGCGTCGTGTCACCGGTTGGGAGTAAGTATTTTTCCATCATCTACTCACGCGCAAGACCGAAAAATGGCTGATCTCCTCCGTTCTCGCGCAGTACACCTGTTGGATTGCAATTTGAAAAGTTCATCATACCCGACGCCATTCACATTTTGGACTCTCTCGTGGAAACATTGGCATTTTAAATCATAATCAGTGTATAATACATTATCATAGCACCGTAAAGTTCTTTGGCGTAAGATTAAAATGGCAAGACCATCCTTAGTGCCTCAAGAAGAGAATCGCGAAGCGAATCTGTTTCATTTCCCTGTGATATTACAGTAGTACGCCGATCTAACCGCGGTTCCCCTCTGCCTTGTGTGTGTCGCCGCTGCCGCTGAGTATGCAATAGAATTCAACGGTAAGCTGGGGTACAATTTCTATGAAAAAATAATAATTTTCTGGGAGAGACAGTTTAGGGCATGAAAAAAGCTTAAAAAATTCGACACCAGCAGGATTTGAACCTGCGCTCCCAGAGGGAAACAGATGTTCAAGAAATTCGAATCTGTCGCCTTAACCACTCGGCCATAGTGTCCTGTAGGCTTTAATGTTTCTGCCCAGAAACAAAGCGTCAGTCGTGCAGTAGTACCAAGCCTTCCGCTTTCCGCTTCATCTCAACTTGCACCCTTCGTTAGGCATGAGTCACTCAACACAAACGCTGACACTGCACATCTGGCCCTCAAAGTGGGACCTCCCCTCCATTGAACCCTCCTGTATCACAGCCGCGTTCTACCTTCAGCTCGCGCTGCCGGGGCGCTTCTCAATCCAGGAATGCACCGACCCAGACGCGTCGCCCAGCGGTAGGTCAGTATAAACCGAGGTAGTGCTACCTTGCGCGTTGAAACGTTTTTTTTCGTAGGCCAGCTGCCGTATCTATCACATGGTCATCACACTGTCGCGCCTCTGTCTTCCATCGTGAAGTATGTGGCGGCTCTGACGCCCGCGAGGGTGCCCCCCGTCACTGAGGCTGACGGGCATGAGCCCGGATTTTCTGCCGATGTCGACGCGCTGCTCAGTACCACTGAGCGTGCACGGCGCATCGCCTGGATTGCCCATATGGAATCCGCCCTCGGGGACCTTGTGGTGCGTTCTGTCGTCGTCTGCCCAAGTTCCACATCGTCATAATTCGCCATTTTTTACAGGCCCATGCGTTCTATTGCGTTCCTGCAAACTACATCGGCGTCATGCATCCTACCCTTTCTTCTTTCTATAAAATTCCGCAATCTTATTACGTGCCTCGTCGCATCCGCCAGGTGTATCAAGCTCGCCTTGAGGCCAATGGATCATGGACTACCTCCGCGGAAGAGTCTGAGGTCGAAAAGCCGAAGCGTTTTGGCGAGAAGGAGACGGAGAAGGAGAAGGATGATCCAAAGCAGATATTTAAGAATGCATTCCAGCGCGAGCGGGTGGGTCGCTCGAATCGTCCTTCAGGCACCATTCGGTCTGACCCGTAACACAGGTCTTGGACAAGTCACGCGCGGCATTTGATCTCTACGCAAGACTGCTGGGTGACAAGAACTTTTTTTTTTATGATAGGTGCGCTAGATAGCAACGAATGACCTAAGCTCGTCGGATTGACAAGATCTTCTCAAGGCCGACAACGCTAGATCTGTCACTAGCTGCGCATATCCTGCTTCTCATTAACGCACCACTCCCCGACACTTTACTTTCGTCGCTCCTAAGTTCATCGTACCCCACGCTCATCTTGCACGCACGACGCGTTCTCAGCGACGCAATGCCCACCACTCGCGTGCTTTCACCAGAGCGATATAAATTGAGCGCACTACTGCCCTACCCCAGCTTTCGCGCTTGGTGGAATGAGCCGCATCGACCTAAAAGTGAAGAGGAAAAACGATTCGAACGTATGCGATGGCGTTGGATTGGTCTTGCGATCGTCGGATCAATCGGGTATTGGCTCATCTGGGGACCTAAACTTCGCTTGGTGAGGGTGGCGGACGAAGATGGAGAGGAGAGTCTGGCGATTGTTCAAGTTGTTGAAGGCAACACGGTGGTCTTGGACGCTGATGAGGAAAAGGAAGAGGAAGAGGAAGAGGAAGAGGAGGGCGATGGTGGTGGTAATGAGGAACACTAATCATTGTCGTACCTGAATGCCCTGTGGCTACAGTACATGGGCGCCTGTCGTATATTCGAGTGAACGTCAGCTTCCGATTCGAGGGCAGTGATGGCTCCCTTCCGCTTACGACACCCAAGGGGTGTCTCAACTCTACAACTCGACACAGAGTCCGCGACGGTGCAGGATCTCCTCCAAGCCATATTCGCCGTATCCGAAATCCCACCATCAGCCCAAGATCGTACGCTTACTACCAGCGATTTCGCTCACCTCATTTACCCCACACTCACACACACACTTTGTACGCAGTCAAAGCAGGATACCCACCAAGAGCCCTCACAGCGGTCATACCCGAGCTCCCGCTCTCAAGTCTTGGCATAGCGCCCGGCGATCAACTTATTGTCATCCAAAAGTCTGGCTCCGCCGCGGCGCCTACATTATCATCATCATCGCCCGTGAATCCAGCTTATCCAGGCCACACTCCGGCCGCCGCCACACGCCCTACGCCATCATCGAACTCGAACCCAAGACAGGTAGCTCCGACTCGGACGACGCTTTCGACAACTGAGGACGATGGTCGTCCCGATTATGTTACCATGGATGGTGGTTATCTGATCCATAGGGTGCGTGCCATCCATCATTTAATTGCGTGTTTGCAAGGCATTTCGTCCTGATCTGAGGGTGGTTACCTGTGCAGATCGTGCCAGATGATAATTCTTGTATGTTTGCATCTATCGCGCTCGTTTTCGAGCAGGACATGCGAAAGGCGCCCATGATCCGGCAGGGTACGTCGCCCGCCACGTGTTAACAGATCGCGGGGTGATCCCTACCGTTCAAATTTACACTGTTTGACAGTCGTGGCCGAAGCGATTCGGCGGGATCCAGAAACATGGAGCGATGTCATCCTAGGGTACGCAATCCACTCTACACCTTCCATTGTGAAATCAGTTCCACACATTCAAGTCTTATTTTGCTCTGCACATTGGGTTCGGGCCCGACGACGACGACGATAACGATGAAAAAAAAAGACATCCACGCGACGAATACATCCGCACAATTCTCTCTCCGAATTCCTGGGGCGGCGCGATCGAGCTCACGATCCTCGCCGCACACTACGAGACCGAGATTGCAAGTATCGACGTCGAAACCGGCCGGATCGACCGTTTCAGCTCCAGTTCCAGCTCCAATGATGGCGACGCGGGCGCGGGCGCGCGTGCGGCCGCCTCGGAGAGCAGCCGCGTGTTGCTCATCTATTCTGGGATCCATTACGACGCCGCGGTGCTCGCTCCTACGCCAGAAGCGCCCCAGGAGTTTTGCGCGAGTGTAGTCCCCGCGAACGCTACTGAGGGCGAGCGCGTACTGGAGGCGTTGCAAGCGCTTGCGACAAAGCTGCGGGCCAAACGCGCGTATACGAATACTGCTACTTTTGATCTGAAGTGCGAGGTGCGTGTGTTTTCACTCCCGTGTTGGGGGATCGTTGATGGATGGGTTTCGTGTGCGCGTATCGGTGGTACTACTAGGTATGTGGGCAGGGCCTTAAGGGTGAAAAAGAGGCGCGTGCGCATGCGTCCGAGACGGGGCATGCCAAGTTTGGCGAATACTGAGACTGGATATCCTTCTATTCCAAACGGAGCTATGTATCCTCTATAGCGATTGTTGTCCTAATGTCCCTGATCAAATCAATATACACTCGGCGAACAAGCGAGAATAACTTGAAAGCACGTCAAGACTGTGCTTTGTCTGAAACGATCTCCCCGTTCAACCTCTTCTTCACTTCGTCCACCTCCTCGTACTCCTCACTGCTCTTCGCCTCTGGGCCTATCCACTTATATGCGTTGTTTCTGACGAACTCGTCGAATGACCACAGCTCTTTCTCCAGATGGCTGTCCTTTGAACACCACACGTATGTCTGTGCTGGGATAGGCTGCGCCAGCTCGTCGGCCGACGGGAGCGGCGGAAGGGCCGTCGGGATCAAGGAGCCCTCTGCCGCCATCGCTTCCGGAGAAGATACCGCAGCATCGGATGGAACGGCCGTCAATCGGCCCAGTGGATGTACGCGCACCTCCTTGCGAACATATTCCTGATTAATCCGCACGAGCAAAATAAGGAGCGATCAAGTTGTTAGTTAGTCTCGACGAAAGAATAAGTGGAGAGAGTAAGTGACGCACATTTCCTTCGAATACATCGAGGAACATGAAGTCCTGATTGGTAAAGCCCGTAACGAGCGTGCCGCGGATACAGTTCTCCTCCGGGGTGAGCTCACGTCCGAGTAGTGCCTTGCTCCTCTCGCACGGCAGGATTGCGGGGTAATCTGCGGACTGAGTGGACTATGCGTGAGCTAAGAAATCTGGATGCGGAATGCCACCACTCCGACGTTGAGCTGTAGTAGACCAACGTACACTAACATGGTGCCGCGTGTAGTCCTACATCATGATTCCACCGGATACGGTATATCAACAATTGTACGTGGTGTATGTCGTTGGGCGTGGAGGGACCGACCATAAGGATTGCAGGGCATATTTTCAGGTGGCTGGCATCGTTGTGCAGGACCCTCTTTAGGATCTTGGGATGCATTAGGGTTCCGTAGAAGAATGCAGAGGCCATGGTATCTGAGGAAGGAGGGGAAGGGAGAAAATGCTGTGAGGGCGCAGATAATCAACTCCCCCAGCTTATCTTATCGGAGGCCGTACTAGGTCGTGGTAGCACGCTAAGTTACTCGAGTATCCCTCTTTCAGTTTAGTGGGTTGGAGTAGTACAGCGTGGGATAGTCGGATTCGAAACTTGTTGTCGCTCCCGTGTCGCTCCCACGGTTGGTCAAAGGCACAAGTCAAAGTCGTTCCTAACACTAAGATCAGCACTACATTATCGTACAGCAGCCATTCCCTCCCTCCAAAACTTGAAGCACAATCCAGCCTTTCAAGTTGCATGCGACTCGTCCTCGGGTAGAATATCTATGACTCCATCCCTCTCTGAATCACCACTATCCGAGTCCCAAGAATTTATAATGCACCAGATTATGAGGATGGTTACAATCCCAGAGGCAGCTCCCACCCAAACCCGAATATGCGTAGTCGCGTTCTGGAAGCTGAACAGTAACAGGGCGACAAAGAACACGCAGACACTGAGCAAATTAGTTATCGTCACTATCTGGAAACGGTGGAACCAGGGATGCGACGACGCACGACCACATCAGCAGAGCATACGTCAAGCTGAATAAGACGGCCAAGGGTTCTAGGTGAAAGTCGCCCCAGGTCATGCTATCTAGGTAGTCGCACTGGAAGCCAATCAGCCAGGACGCGCAACACGGGAAAGGACTAGCGCACTGCCGTTCTAGGATCTTGCGTTCCCATTGTACGATTGCGGCGGATGAGCAGAAGACCGGCGATGATACTTCCGATACTAAACACCAATGACATAGAACTTGCAGTCTGAGCAGGAGACGCTTTGATCCATCCTTTTGAACC